GTTTTATATATATATATATATATATATATATATATTCTTGACTTGGCTTCGCAGCTGGTCCAATTTTCGATTTTAAATTTTAATAGTTTCTCTATCTGCGGCATTTTTTCTGCCTAAATTATCAAACGAAAACATAAACATTTTGTGGATTTATCGATGGTTCGCGTGGATTTTGTAAAAACTATTTTTTTAAAGGCATTTATTTTTTAAATTCTGATTATCCATAAACATTCACTGGGGTCATGTGTGGTTCCACAAAAAATAGGACTCGATCGTCGTTTTTAAGGATACACACGGACACCTTGACAAGCAATATTATAGATGATGTAAAAGACTATACATTTTACATTTATTTACAAAGAAAAACACAATATCAAATAAATTAAATTATGAAAAGAATTATTTTTTTTTTATACTCACCTTGCAATAGACAACTTTCTGCATTATCTTATATTTTCCTTCCCCCTCACCCTAGGGTAAAAATATTTAAAAATTATGAACGTTAGCTAGCAAACTGTAAATTCTGGTTGATTTTAAGTACAGAGCCGACTTTTTATCAGCTAGAGCAAACTGTACAATTCAGACTATATGAGGTAAACGGCGGGACAGTACGCCAAATGAGAAAATGAAATTTATGTGTGGAATATGTAAAACAGAAAAATATATTCTTTAAAATAAATATTCTCTGTTTATTTTTTCTCTTATTTTCAACAAAAGCGAGACATATAAAACTGTAAAATAGTAATGACTGTTAAGCTTAAGTAAAGGTAATTAGTTGAACATTTAACACACAAACTGTTTAGTTTACACTATAAACACACTACACAAACTCATTCAATACAAAAATTGTGTAGTTTACACTGTAAACACACTACACAAACTCATTTGACACAACAATTGTGTAGTTTACACTATAAACACACTACAAAACTCATATAACACAACAATTGTGTAGTTTACACTACAAACCCACTACACAAACTCATTTAACACCACAATTGTGTAGTTAACACTATAAACACACTACACAAATTCATTCAACACAAAAATTGTGTAGTTTACACTATAAACACACTACACAAACTAATTTAACACAACAATTGTGTATTTTACACTATAAACACACTACACAAACTCATTAAACAAAACAATTGTACAGTTTACACTATAAACACACTACATCAACCTCATTTAACACGACAATTGTGTAGTTTACACTATAAACACACTACACAAACTCATTCAACACAAAAATTGTGTAGTTTACACTATAAACACACTACACAAACTCATTTAACACAACAATTGTGTAGTTTACATTATAAACACACTGCACAAACTCATTAAACAGAACAATTGTATAGTTTACACTGAAAACACACTACATCAACCTCATTTAACACGACAATTGTGTAGTTTACACTATAAACAAACTACAAAAACTCCTTTAACACAACAATTGTGTAGTTTACAATATAAACACACTACAAAAACTCCTTTAACACAATTATTATGTAGTTTACACTACAAACACAATACACAAACTCATTTAACTTTAAGGTGTTTTTTTTTACTTTTATTCTTTGTTTATTGACATATCAAATGAAAGAGAGATTGTTTCATTGTCGAGTGCCTATTCCACAGTTTTAACCCAATAAAAGCTAGGGGGTCTGAATCTATGTATAGCTTGGGCGCCTAGAANATAGCAAATAAAGGAATTGAGTTTTCGCCACAAACCACGATTTTCTAATATCTATATCTTTGCAGCAACCCAATGTCATATGACCTTAGACATTTCAAAATATAAATTCTAATATGTCAAATGATCTAAGTTTGAAATATCAAAGGTTTACACCATCAGATCGCGAAGATGTAGGGATAAGGAAATTTGAGTTTGTTGCAAAGACTCAATTCCTTTGGAATAATTTCAACATATTGTTAAGGGACTGTATGCTTCATTAAAATTGTAAATACTGATATCTAATTTCTACTTGATCAAACAGAGCTTTAAAGGGTACAATTGTGAATCAGGCATTGCCATCTTTTCATGGAGGGTTACTTAAAATTACACGCACAGTCCCTTTAGAATTTCAAGTTGCTTACATTACTAACTATCGGTAGTTCCTCTTTGACAGCACAGTGGATGGGTTGTGGGGCAACATTTTCACCTCCTGCTGTGATAATCAGATCCTAAAAAATTATCTATTTATTTAATTTTTATTATTATTTTTGAAATATTCCTTAAACGTATAACGGACATGGATTGTTTAAAATTTTATATTTTCTTATTTCACGTCAAGCCGACATTATCTGTCTAGTTCACAGTATTTATACCTTCTCCTTCTGTCTAATTCACTATGTTTATACCTTCTCCTTCTGTCTAGTTCACAGTGTTTTCTACCTTCTCCTTCTGTCTAGTTAACTGTTTTTTACCTTCTCCTTCTGTCTAGTTCACAGTGTTTTAACTTCTCCTTCTATCTAGTTAACTGTTTTTTTTTACCTTCTCCTTCCGTCTAGTTCACAGTGTTTTACCTTCTCCTTCTGTCTAGTTCACAGTGTTTTACCTTCTCCTTCTGTTTCTTTCCTAGAGTTTATACCTTCTCCTTCTGTCTAGTTCACAGTGTTTTACCTTCTCCTTCTATCTAGTTAATTGTTTTTTTACCTTCTCCCTCTGTCTAGTTAACTGTTTTTTTACCTTCTCCTTCTGTCTAGTTCTCTGTGTTTCACCTTCTCCTACCATCCAGTTTACCGTGTTTCACCTTCTCCTACCGTCAAGTTCACTGAGTTTATACCTTCTCTCTCCCTACGATGAAGTGAAATCCCTGAGCATCTATTTCTCCCAGATCTCCACTCTTAAGCCACCCATCTTCGGTCATATCCTAGATAAATACCATTTTCGGTCCTATCATAGAATAATACCATTTTCGGTCATATCCTAGAAAAAAATCATTTTCGATCAAATCCTGTTAAGATAACCGACCTTTCTAGTTGCATCCTCCCTGTTAAGATACGCCATCTAACTAGTTGCATCTTCCCTATTAAGATATGACACCTTTCTGGTTGCATCCTCCCAGTTAAGATATCACATTTTTCTAATTGCAACTACCCAGTTAAGATATCCCATTTTTCTAATTGCATCCTCCCTGTTAAGATATTCCACCTTTCTAGTTGCATCCTCCCTGTTAAAATATCCCACCTTTCTAGTTGCATCCTCCCTGTTTAGATATCCCATCATAACATTACGGCCCCACATCCAGATCTCCTTGCCGCCAACATCAGGGTCAGAGGACTAAAGGGGAATAATTACCTTAAAGGGACTGTACGTGTAATTTCAAGTGACCCTACTTGCTGCAAAGATGGCAATGTCCGATTTATAACAATTAAGCTTTGTCTGAACAAGTAAGGGTGTAAATATGCAATATCCATGTTTTTGATTACTTTCAAGTGAGGTTCCTCTGCAAACTTGACTTGCGCACTTCTCGCTGTATAAGAAACAATGAACAAATTTACAGATATAAATATTTTTGATCAAAAAAAACGACTTTCACAATTTTTATGAGATAAAGTTTCATTGTACATTGTACTTCGGGCATCGTCAATTATGCATAGAGTGTCACTAAAAGCTATGCTTACAGTCCCTTTAAGATTTTCTCCCAAAAACATTTTATATTTTAATAAAATTGGATCTGACACAATTTTTAGAATCTTTAAAATTAAGAAATTGAGATTATTTCGCATGTTTAAAGGGACAGTAAAGGAAAAATGAAAGGGGGTATAGGCTGAAAGCTAATCACTTTAGCTCTTGATCGCGACCCATGAAAGTTTTATCTGATGTTCCTGTCTCGAGAAACTGTGTTAAAATTATACGAAAATTCATATATGTAAAATTTTGAAAATCTGAAACTTAAATCACGTGACNTCCCAAGCAACAATTTCTCCATCAATTTCCCAACCATATGCCCAACAACAATTTCTCCATCAATTTCCGCAACAATTTCCCCAACAACAATTTCCCCAAAATTTTTCCAAACATTAATTTCCCCGACAACAATTTTCCAAACATCAGTTTCTTCATCAATTTCCCCAACAATATCCCCAACAACAATTTCTCCATCAATTTCCCCAACAATTTCCCAAACAACAATTTCCCAAACAACAATTTCTCTATCAATTTCCCCAACAATATCCCCAACAACAATTTCTCCATCAATTTCCCCAACAATTTCCCAGACAACAATTTCCCCAAAATTTTTCCAAACATTAATTTCCCCGACAACAATTTCCCAAACATCAATTTCTTCATCAATTTCCCCAACAATTTCCCCAACTTCAATTTCCTCACAACAATTTCCCAAATAACAATTTCCCTGACCAACACCAACTGAAAATAAAAATGTGCAACTTTTCCAATATACAAAATGCATGAAGTGATTTAGTATATTTCAATATTTTGAAATATTTTATGCATGGGGAAATTGTTTTTGAGGCTAAAGTTAATATTGGGGAAATTACTGTTAGTGAAATAAGTGGTTGGGAAAATACTTTTTGGAAAATTACTCTTTGGAAAGCTCTTTGGAAATTAGTGGTTTAGAAAATTAATGGAAAAACTTGTTGGAAAGTTGTTGTTGGGAAATTATCTAAAAACCTTTTGACCTCTCCGCCTTGCATGATTAAATCTTATATCTAATTATCTCTCTTAAGAGATTAAGTTGTTGTTGGGAAATTACCTAAAAACCTTTTGACCTCTCCGCCTTGCATGATTAAATCTTATATCTAATTATCTCTCTTATGAGATTAAGGCTGCGGCAAGGAAAAGCTAAAGACCAGCATCATAATAAATAGTGGTGGTGTAGTAAATACCTACTTCAGAACGGTTTCTCTAACACATATCTATCCAGGTACAGTTCAGTTTCACTTAGTTATTAGTGTTTAAACCCGGATACGATCCTGTAACTATCAATCCCAAATCAAAGGGGATAATCCTCAACCTGTTTATCAAAACAGGGAACCACAGGGAAACAATCTCGTGATCTATCAATACCACTACCACTGGGCGTGATCTCGTTAGCTATCCATATAATCAGAAGCTCATAACTATCGATCCCAAATCAAAGGGGACAATCCTCAATCTGTTTATCAAAACAGGAAACCACACGGATACACTCTTGTGATCTATCAATGCCACAACCACTAGGTGAAATCTCGTTAGCTATCCATATCAATCAGAAGCTCATAACTATCGAACCCAAATCAAAGGGGACAATCCTCAACCTGTTTATCAAAAAAGGGAATGATTGCTCTCTCGCAAAAAAAAATATTTTTTCATTTGTTTGGCATTTTTTTAACCTACCCTAGCACCCAAACAGTTAAAGTTATCGATCTAATTTTTTTTTCAATGAACTGACCTTGAAAAATGAATAATGAATATGCATTTCAACCCTAAACCTATTATCTAAGGCCTTTTCTAAGAAGGGGGCAAATTGGGACGCCCCCCCCCCACAGAGTAAACATAGATTCAGACCCCCCTGTCTTTATAGGGTTAAGAGCTTGCAACCTTTAAATCACAGTGCATCAGGGTAAAATATATAGGTATTATACATATCAAGTTTGTGGCAAAGACTCAATTTATTTCGACAGACTTTTTAATCTGACAAAAAAAATTAGCTAATCTAATTTTACCTGCATTGTAATCGGCCCTGTGCACTCACTCATCCCGTACAATTCGTTTATCTTCATATCTAAACTGAAATTAAAATTTGTGATTTTAAATGAAGAAATTATATTAAATATTTACAAAAAATTCAAATTGATCCTTGTATAAAGATGTTTAACTTCTTCTTAGTCTAGCGTATCGAGCATGCTACGGAATTCATGAATTATATGATAGGATGCGGAGGGGAAAGTGTGAGGGGGAGGGGGTGATTTGTAAGTCAAAAATATTTATTTCAGTAAAATATGTTTGAGTAATTGATTTGTTCACCAAAATAAATTTCAAAACGTCTTTAATAACTGATAAACCATGGAAGAAGAGGTTTAAAACTTTTCACCAATTGTCATCTTTCTTAGGACACCCTGTGTAAAAAAACATATGCACCTCATGAAGTATCTGAGAGTTGCAAGCTCAATGGGTGCAGCTCCAGAGTAGAATCCTTTGCAACAGTCCAGTCCTAGAGCTTTCTTCACCTGTAAACAATATATAAATACTCGCTCAAGTGCCTGCCGTTGCCAGTGAAAAAAAAATGTTAGTCCTAAGGTACCAATAGGTTCCCTCAAAAAAATTTCAGCCNTCCGCGCAATTCGAGAACAGTTGCGCGCAATTCCTCGCACTTGCGCGCAACGGAATTGCAATTGGAAACCCTAGTTGCAAGTTTCTTAATTTGTATATATTAAAATACAAGATTGTGAGACACTGGGGAATAGGAAGACGACATTTAAGTAATCTTATGTAAAATTTATTTATTTAAATAGTTTTACTAGTAGCCAAAATATTAACTTATTCACGCAAATCTGCCCCTTTAGTAAAAGAAAATTCAACCTATATGAAGCATAAAGTCTGACCGCGTCAACCTTGTTGCATCCGCTAGTCCTGTCCATAGAGCTGTACAGTGCAAACTGGGACCGGAAACGTTGACCCGGCTCGGAAATTCAAATGTACTACGGCTGCCCGTGTATTAAGTAATCTTATGTGAAATTTATGTTGTTTTAAAGAAGATAGTTGTATGTACTTATTAAATAAACTGGGCCTGCGAACACTTTAAATTTTCTGAATTTCATGATCGCTGAACTATTAAAAAGTCGTCTTCATCGTACACAGCAGATTGTTTACCTCTAGATGATACTTCAGTCCAGCTTTCTTTGCCTCTATGCCAATGTTTTTCTTCAATCCTGTAGCCCCCCTTCCAGCATTCAGCATACCCTCCATTATCTGAACAGGTATTTGTTTTGTTTTAAATATTGTGCTCCCTTACTATCCTGTAAATAAGTTTGTATAATCATATGGAGAATTTTTTTTTTCGAATTTGCACATAAAAAAAGAATTGATTATAATAGTTATTGATCCTAACCATCCTCATATTCTATAAGAATGGTTAAGCTTTAATTGGAAACTGTACTTTCCCTAGATGGTTCGTCTGAGTTCCCAAATCAAAATTTGAAGTAAATCGGTCAAGGTCTTTCTGAGCTTTGATTGGACATACAAACAGAGATCACTGCTTTATATATATATATATATATGCATATAAAATACCTTCTCCCAGACCCTAGGAACTCCCAAGAACTGTGTTGGTCTACACCAAAGAAGATTATCCTTCAAAGTTCCCTTAAACACAATACAAAATTTTACACCAGAACTATGCTGTATTTAAAAGGACTGTTCTTGTAATTTCAAGAATTTTCTGAAATGTCCGATTGACAACGGTACCCTTTAAACATGTATTTTATCAATAAGGTAAAAAGTCGTTGTTTTTAATCTTAAAAAGTGTTTAAATTTGACAATTTCCTCTACAGCTTCTGAGGAGAAAAAACGTATTTTTCCTAAATAAGCATATTAAAGAATTCAAATATTTTGATGGAAAACCCCTTGAAATAACCTTTACAGTCCATTTAAATTTAATTGCAAGCCAATTAAACAATCAAATGCAAATAAATTAATCTTTGCCACAAACTTTATATGTTCAGCCTGATGGTACCTATGATATCTCAAACTTTACGACATTGTGTTGCAAAGATTTAAGGAATAGAAAACATAAGTTTGTGACAAAGCCTCAATTCCTTTTGTTTCCTATGATGTATTTGCCATGTTTAATAATCTATTTAGTTTTGTGCCTTGAGTGCATCTTTATCAGCGAAGAAAGTTGTTCCTTGGACAGCCATAGGAGCAAAGATATCAACCATATATGCTGCCACGTGACTCAAGGGAAGGTAGCTCAAAATACGAGTTTTCCTAAAGAATAATCATATTTAGAATTATACATAAATATCAACCATATACGCAGCCACGTGACTCAAGGGAAGGTAGCTCAAAATTCGAGTTTTCCTAAAGAATAATCATATTTAGAATTATACATAAATATCAACCATATACGCAGCCACGTGACTCAAGGGAAGGTAGCTCAAAATACGAGTTTTCCTAAAGAATAATCATATATATAGAAATACATAGATATCAACCATATATGCTGCAACGTGACTCAAGGGAAGGTAGCTCAAAATACGAGTTTTCCTAAAGAATAATCATATTTAGAATTATACATATATATCAACCATATACGCAGCCACGTGACTCAAGGGAAGGTAGCTCAAAATACGAGTTTTCCTAAAGAATAATCATATTTAGAATTATACATAAATATCAACCATATACGCAGCCACGTGACTCAAGGGAAGGTAGCTCAAAATACGAGTTTTCCTAAAGAATAATCATATATAGAATTATACATATACATATGCAGCCACGTGACTCAAGGGAAGGTAGCTCAAAACACGAGTTTTCCCAAAGAATAATAAAAATATAGAAAAACATAGATATCAACCATATATGCTTGCCACGAGACTTAACGGCTGGTAGCTCAAAACACGAATTTTACTATGGATATAAAAACAATATTATTTTAAATTTATTTCCTACACAAAGCTAAAATGGTACAATATGATTAGACAAAACATAAATAAGGTAAAGATATATAGATATAGTTTCTAGTCGGTGCTTAAAAAAGTAATCATGGTTGCGATCTCGAAAATTATCCTCTTTAACTTTGAGTAATTCATTAGGAATGGGTAATTTCTATTCTTGTTCTAAAGGAATTTGATTGTCTAAAAAAGTGCTAAGATTTTTATAAATCATGTTTACTTAAATCTACTACCACGTAGTTGTACCACAGGGGTCGGTGTTTTTGTCAATTTAATAAAGACGACTTTTTTTCAAATTATAAGTTCACATGTAAATGAAGAGAAACTGTTAATTAACATTTAATTTTGCTTCAATGTTTATATGTGTATCTATGTTGTTATAAAAGCTTGACAGAAAAATCAAAGTCGTATTTATTGTATTGATACATAGCCGAGGACTGGAGGTTTGACAATATACTTTGCAATTGTTTTTGGATTTTTATTTTTCAAACCCTAGTTTATAAATTTACTAAAATTTATTATTAGCAGGGCATTGAAAAAAAAGTAAATGGTTAACCCTATAAAGGCTGCAGGGGGGGTCTGATACTACGTATAGACTTGGGGGAGGGGTCGCCCCGGGGCTTCTCCCCTTTGAAAAAGTCCTTGGAGAATAGATTTTGTGTTGAAATGCATGTTCATGTTCAACGGCCGATTTTTCAAGGCCAGCTTATTGAAAAATAAATTGATCGATAGCTTTTATAGTTTGGGTTTTAGGGAGGGTTGAAAAAAAATGCCAAAAAAGGTCAAAAATGTGAAAAATATTTTTTTGTTTAAAACAAATATCAAATTGTGACGCATATTTATACATGAATTGTTCAAGGGCTTTTACAAAATATAGTGTTTAAATCTGTAACTTTAGTCATAAAAAAATTTTGGGCTATTTTAGATTTTTTACATACTACGGACTTTTTACCGAACTGTACCCTACTCTATGCATAAAAAACATTTGAAAATACTTTAAATTACTATTTATTAAAAGTAAAAAAAATCCAATAAAAGTGTCAAAAATAAGAGTGATAGGAAACAAAAATAGAGGGGGGGGGGTCGCCAAACGCCCCACTCCCAGACTGTTTAAGTTTAATATGTTAGGAATAATATTATTACCTTATATCAAACTTGTGAATCGATGTTGCAAGTTTAGCAGTAAATGTTAGATTATCATGAGACAACATAACTCCCTGGAAAAGAACGAAGTAATTTCAAAGAATTAAGTATTTGCCACCATCTCAGATTTTCTAAATCCTATACTTTACTACTATACTTTATCATCCTTTTGGCGTAGACCGCGGGATATTTCAAACAATAACTTCTCTTAGATCAAAAAGTCTAAGTTTGAAATATCACAATTTGAGTTTGTGGCAAAGACTCAAATCCTTTATATAAAAAATGTTATTCAAGGTAAATGTTTTAGAAAAATTGAGGTTCAGACAAAATTGCGTCCCGAACCTAATCGTGTAAAGCATTGATTTTTCAAACTTAAATTAAATTTTATCCAAAGAGAATAGAATATATATTAGAGTAGAATTTACTAGAAAAAAGTGTAAAACGGCAATTTTGTTGTACTGTTTCCATACTGCAGGTGTACTTCACATATTTGCGCTATATAACCTTTTGGGCCCTGGAACATCATTTTATAGAAGATCTAAAATTAATACTAAAAGAAAACCAAATCATGAAATAGGCTGGTTTCATAATTGACCAATGATCATTTCACATAGACTCTATGCCTTC